CAGATGAATAATAAAGTTAGCTCAAGTATTAATTCCAAGAAAGCACCACTGCATTCTCAAAATGTAAGCGCATAATTATTCTTTGATCTTTTTTCTCCTTTAAATTGTGATTTATTGTTCACTAATCAAGAATCCCTTCAAGAATTTGTCCAATTTATACTTATTTTTCAAAAAATTAATATTTTTTTCTTGATAATTGTAATTATGAATTGATCTCTCTGAATCTTGGAAGGGGAAGAAGATGAAATTGCAGGGAAGGAAATTACAAACAACTGAGAAGGCCACAGCAAGAGAAACGAAATTGGCCTTACTACAAGATGTACTCAAATTCTCCCATAAAAAGATTATTATTTTTTAATATAAAATTAAGCTTAACTTTCATTTTTTAATCTTTTTCTTGAATTGGCAGGTTGATAAGCTGAAGAAGAAACTAAGGCATGAAGAAAATGTTCACAGAGCTTTGGAGAGGGCTTTCACTAGGCCCTTAGGAACTCTACCTCGTCTTCCTCCGTATCTCCCTCAATATGTAAGTATCCACATGTTTGGTATACTGAAGTGGACAATCGAGTATTGTGTACTGAGTATTTCCTATTAGCGTAATTCCACATTCCTCTAGATCTCTCTCTCTGCCTTTACTACTACCACATTGGATTTGATTAGTTTTGGGTTGGGTTGGCATAGGCAAATGGACTAATGGCATAATTAGGACTTTTTGTTAAATGAATTGGAAATTTCCCAGATGAATTTCATTGTAATCAATCTTATGAACCTGTGATTGTGTTGTGATGTTGTAGACTCTAGAACTTCTAGCTGAAGTAGCTGTTTTGGAAGAGGAGGTTGTTCGACTAGAAGAACAAGTTGTGAATTTTAGACAAGGTCTCTATCAGGAAGCTGTTTACATATCCTCCCGGACGAATTCAGAGGATTCGATCGGTTCATGCTATGATTCGTTGATTACTAGTAAAAGAAAAAGTCATTCAAGATCTTTATCCCAAATAGAAGTTAATCCGAGTTCATCCTTGGCAATGCCTTCACATTCTCTGGCTAGATGTGCTTCCAGTCGAAGGTTATTATCGTCTGATGGTGTTTCCAATGGCACGAGGAATTGCTCAGAGAGGCCAGCAAATGGAAAGCAAGCAGTAAATAAAGCTAACAAATCTTTAGAAGATCGATTAGTAAACGAGAATAGATCTTGTCCAAATTCTGCCAAAAATAGAGCACTAGATGCCTCAGTGAAGAGACATTCTGTGAAGCCTGAATCAATAGTAAAAAGTGTAAATCCCCTGAAAATGCAGGTATTTTCTCATTGGCAATGTAGATTAAAATAGGTGAATACGTAAAGAAAGGAAAAACTGATTTAGAGTAAGATGATACAATTGCAGTGTAGAATTGTAGAACAGGCAAAGGAGAGTTCTTCTGGGTCTTCAGAGGACATAATGTTTGATGTTGAAAACGAGACAAACAAGATCTCGGAGGATACGTTGAAGTGCTTGATCAGCATCTTTGTAAGATTAAGCACATCGAAAGGGAAGACAATGGATTCAAAGTCGTTTTCCTCTCTAGTACCCGGAGCATTTAGTAAAAATAGCGTGGAATCAGACTTTCGAGATCCTTATTGTTTAACTTCCGAGTTCAAGAAGGACATTGGCCCTTACAAGTATTTTTATTCAATTGAAGCTGGCTCAATTGATCTCAACCATAAAGCAAATGCATCATTTCTGATCCGTAGACTGAAGTGAGTAATTAAGTTTTTCATTGCATGTTTGGAATACTATAATGAACAAGATTTTAACTTCTTTGATTTGTTCACTACTATCCGATCATCCATAGCGAACATTCCATCAGTTCTTATCTTTCTCATAGTTGCTAGCAAAATGTTTACTTTTTCCTTGCAAACAATTCAGGATCCTGCTGGGAAAGTTAGCCTCTGTAAAGTTAGAGAGTCTAACCCACCAGCAGAAGCTTGCATTTTGGATAAATACGTACAATTCTTGCATGATGAATGTAAGTTGCCTCTTGAACTCCAAGAACTTATTATTTTACATGTTCTTAAATTCTTTTCTTTGGAACATTTCTTGTAGTTTAATGCAAATTCACGATCCTTCAAATGTCTGTGTTATAATGTTTCAGGCATTTTTGGAGCATGGAATCCCTGATAATCCTAATATGGTTGTAGAACTGATGCAAAAGGTAAGACTTCACATTATTCCGATTCGTAATTTTTTCCTTGGCTAACAATATGCCCTTTTTGGTCAGTTTTGTAAGCTAGACTGGACAGTACAAGTCAACATTGAATTAGAAAAAGAAACTATTGTACCGTCTAATACTGCATACTGAATGTGTCTATCCTTTGCTACCTTAATTTTTTTAATGATATTCTTTTGATCCTTTTATAAGATCGTAGATACTAAAGTCACTACACTATTCGATCTGTAGCAGCACGTTTCTGTCAAATCTAGCTTGTGAATTCCGGAGTTTTACGTAACTCAACTATGCTATCTGCAGGCCACAATTACTGTGGGGGGACATTTGCTAACTGCAATCATAATTGAGCACTTCATATTGAGACTACCATATCACTTAAAATATGTAAGTTGCCTTTTCTCCACTTTCAAGGTAATTATATTCCATAGAGATGGGAGCAGTTAAGTTCTTTTGGATAAGTTTTTTTGTATTTATTTGAAAAAGAATCTATAAACTGCTGATACCCTTTATCTTCTCTTAATAGACTTGCTTGAAATCTGGAAAACATGATGAAATGAAGATTCGTAGCACGTTTGGTTTGGAGTGGTCTGAACCATTGATCACATTTGCACTCTCTTGTGGAAGTTGGTCCTCTCCATCTGTATGTTCAGTTTGCTGCTTCTTAATATACATGAGATCAATTAATTTTGAATAGTTTCTCAAAAGTATTTGTTTTTGTATCGGATTAATTTAACTAGCTCAAGTAATGGAAGAGTGCTTATTGTCCAAAAAGATGTCGCCTGTGTCACTAATTTCTTCACAAAAAGCAGAAGATTGAAGAATGAAGAAATCCAAAAGAAAGATAATAGTTAGAAAAGGGGAAATCAAAGAATTTGAAGGTAACTACCCGCTTAGTATAGTAGAAAGACCAATCGGACTAGTAAAAAGTCTTTTTTTTTATAACTAAATTAAGAGACATGGGCTTTGCTGCATAAAGGGTGGGAGCCTTTTTAAATGAGCAAACACAAAAGCATGCTGTATAGAGAGTTAAAGAGGAGCATTCATTAAAGACTTCGAACTGAAATTTTGATGCATATTCTCGCATTCTCCTGCTACTTGTCATGTTGAATCTTGGTTTGTGCTTTATGACACTTCTACTGCCAAAAAAATTCCAAAAAACTTTCTGCACCGGTTTCTTGTTTTGAAGACTAGGAAGACAAATAACCCCTCATAAGATTATTTGTTCCAAACTCAAATCATGAAGTTTATTATGGCTCGTAATAATCTATCTTTGGGGGCTACGATATTCTTCCACTTAATATGATAATTTTCTTGAATTAAGGTGAGGGTGTACACAGCACCTTGCATTGAGACAGAGTTGGAAGCAGCAAAAATAGATTATTTACAAGCAGCAGTTGGCATTTCATCGACTAACAAGTTAATGATACCAAAATTATTAGATTGGTATCTTCTAGACTTTGCAAAGGATTTGGATGCATTGCTAGATTGGGTATGCCTACAGCTACCAGACGAACTCAGGAACAAAGCAGTTAAGTGCCTTGAAAGAAAAGGAAGAGAGTCTCTCTCAAATTTAGTACAAGTGATTCCTTATAATTTCAATTTCAGGTATCTTTTACACCAGTGAGAATTTCATTACCTTCTTGAAATATCGAATGCATGTTTGGCGGACAGTATTATCTTGTTCATTGTATTGTTGAATCATCTCTAATTCTGTGTACTAAACATGCAAGGAGTCTTTGCGTTTCTTGGAGCTTTTGAGATGCAGGTGTGTAAACTAGTATATAAGAAAGAATACAACTTGTAATAATCTTAAGATTTACTGTTAGGGACAGGATTATATGTGTTGGTGTGGTGATCAGTCCCTTAAGATTTTTTTTTTTCCTTTAAATGAAATACATTATGGTGATTTCTTCCATTCAATCATTCATTATGATTCTTGAGTCTATTATGAAATTTGTTAATTCATTTATTTTTATCAAGTAATTTTGGTGCATATTGAGGTTAAATCACATCCTTTAAAAGTTTAAAATATTAAAGACTTAAAGAATAAATTATTTTAATTAACTTCTCCATTATTTCAAAGTTTAAATAAAGTATATTTTCTAGACCACTTTTTTAGAGTAAAACAAAATAATTCATGACTATAGTAATTTGGTATCTCCTATCGTTTTGATGGTGAGATTTATTGAGAAACTAAAATATCTTTTAAAATGTTACTCGCAAAATAATTAAATTAGGTGATGAGCAATAAAATAACTAATCAGCATAATATTTGGAGGGTGTTTGACACTCATTTTTTGGAGTATAGAATATTTGGAATAGTGATTGATGAGAGAATGTGTGGTGGAAAAGTTATGAAAAATTTTAGATTTGTGTGTAATATTATTTTATTGGGAGAATGTGTGGTTAAAATGAAAATGAGAATGAGATGAGAATGGGTGCCAAATAGGGGCTTAATTATTTCCAATACTAAAAGGATTTTTTTTCCTTACCATACTATACTAAAATCTTGTGTTTGAGAGGTGCTCCAAGTCTAATTGAACTTTTGAGCTTGTTTTTTAACAAAGTTTTAGATGAACTTTGTTGATTGTACTGGAAATAATATGCTAGTATAAAATAGCATTAAAAACCCGTTCAACGTTCCATTTTAGTGTTGTTTCTCTCAACTCTTTTCGAAATAGATATAATGTAGACACAATACACCAGAAACCGCCTATGGCAACGCGCAAAAAACATTGTCATAGCCTTTTTGCAACATTCGGGTGCACGTTGCGGGCTTTGACGTCGCCGTAGAGTTTCAGCTTTTGACAACGTTCTTCAAACGTTGCTGTAGATTATTTTCCGCAACGTGCTAGGAACGTTGCTGTAGACCATTTTAACAACGTTCGACGAACGTTAACAACGTTCGACAACGGCAACGTTCGTCGAACGTTGTTAAAAGGGTCTATTGCAATGTTCGACGAACGTTGTCATAGACATTGCAATAGACCATTTTAACAACGTTCGACGAATGTTGCCGTAGGCATAGACTTTTCGCAACGTTCGTCGACTGTTGTTAAAAGGGTTTATTGTAACGTTCGACGAACGTTGCCGTAGACTTTTTTTTTTTTTTGGGTACAACATTCTTGTTGTCTTCCAAATCCCTTGTTTTTTCCTATTTAACATTTGAACATCTTCACCACATAACTCTATGAAAGAAAAAACTTCATACATTCAAAAGGTAACTGCATTTTCAAAAATGAAAACCATGTCGAAGTAAACTCAATCCATTATCTTGAAAGTTCGTTCATGCAACAAATTTACAACTAAATCCAGGCATGCATTTAATTCATTGCAGTACAAAATATTAAGTCCATTTTCCAATATCAAAATAGGAAACTATTTGCACTACTCGTACAGTGCTACCAATTTACAACTAGATGAAGGCAAATATTTAATTCCCTACAGTACAATATTAAGTCAAATTTCAAACA